GCACTAATGAGAGGAAATAATCCTCTGAAGGCTGCTATAACATCTTAATCTACCGCCCAGCTTGGTCTATTGATGGCCTTATCCATGATCATGGAGATTGGGATGAAAAGGAGATTCAAAATTGCATTGGGGTACATAATCATCATGCAACTTCAATTGTGCTTAGTGTTCTTTACATTCTTGCTCGGAACAAAATTCCATTACTTTGGACAGACAATCATATATGGAGGAGTAAAAAATAGAGCTACAAGACGAGGATTCGTAGAGTGACATGTAAAGTTTGCTAAGAACTACATGTACGAAGTCATTTTACAAAGGTTCTGAAACTTATGTTACCGCTAATTATTTATCAGATATATGGATCTAAAACTATTGATTCAATAACATTTATGTTTCTCATTGCATCCATGTGGTTCCTTGTTGCCACCTTTTTTTTTTTTTTGCACCATTTCTTGTTCACCTTTCTGGTTTTTATTTTTTAGAGGAAAAAAAATTGATGACTGGGATGATTGGAGCAAGCGGATGAAAAATGAAGGCATTGAGTAAGATGTTAAACTATTGAAAGATGTTATATTCTCTAGAAATGGATCATGTACTCAGTGGTTCTTGCATGAAGCAAATCTTGTTGTTAAAACAGATGATCAGGAGACGGTTCCCTTCTTTACACCTTGAGGACAAGGTGTCTCTTTAGGAGTGAAGTATTGATACGCTACGGGGGGCCCACCTTGTGGGACCCACGGGTTGATATTTAGGAAAATTCCTAATTAAGGAAAATTATTTAGGAATGTTCCTAATCAAGGGGAGAGTTGTTTGGAAAAGTTTCTTAATTGTGTTTATACTATTCAGAAAGTGTTTAATTGTTCAGGAAGGTTTCCTAAAATTTGTTTAATTGTTTAGGAAAGTTTCCTAAATCATGTTTAGTTGTTCCGAAAGGTTTCCTAAATGATGTTTAATTATTTAAGAATGTTTCCTAAATTATATTTATGTTGATCAGAAAAGTTCTATTTATTTAGAAATATTTCTTAAATTATATTTATGCTGATTAGGAATGTTCTAATTGTGTTATTGTGTTCTAAGGTTATTTAAAGGGGAGTTGTCTAAGGTTTTAGGTTGATGCTATGGATAAGTTTTGTGGGTGTTTGTTATAGTTCTTTTTTTTAGAGCTTCCTCACGGTGTTTAGGTTGATTGGGAGAGTCGATTTACCTCTCGAATTGTAGAGCACCTATATCTTGTTTTCTCTCATAGAAGTTTTAATAAAAAATCAACCACCGTATTGATTTTACCACAGTTTTTATATTATTGTTTGTTGTTTTTGCTTCCAAGGCGTATCAATATGTTTATCTATTTAAAACGAAGATAACTCCATAGCCATATTTGGTATCTGTAAGTGATACAAAGAATGAAAAGAGATGAACTATTATTTTGGCTTTTTCCCATTTCAAATGAGTAAGTCTTAGCAATTATTCTTCTTTTGCATTGAAAAAAGAGGTTCAAATCAAAATGATATGATTTGACTAAAACCTTTTAGACCAATTTATCCTACCAGAAAAACAACTTACCATACAATGGTAGTATATGCATCTAGAAACGCAAATCAAGGTTTAAAATTACGTAAATAAGTCTCGAGGCGTCTTTTGTCCGTGAGGCGAGGCGTAAATCTTGAGTCGATGTGAGGTGTAAGCCTCACAGACGAAGAATTGCATAAATGCGAATTTAAGTATTATAGCATGTAAATAACAATAAGAGTCTATAATATAATTAAAACATCTAAATGAGAAGTGAACTTAGTGGAAAATAATAAATAGATGCAATATATGCATCTTATAGCATAATTCAAAGTACAAAACTACAAATTGAAGTCTATCAAAACTCCCAAAGTACAAATAAGAAAGAACATCTAAAATTTAATCATGTCTCATCACTAAATGGGTCTTTAGTGGAGGCATCTTCATCTCCAATTATATCTATGAATGTCAAATCTTCATCATCTTCAATCTTACTCACTTTTCTCTTTCATGGTCAACAAGAATAATTAGTGTGTTATTAATTGCATATATTTTAAATGTAATAGCACATAAAAAATTGCCTTCAAATTGCATTTCAAATACACGTATGTCTTCTCGTCGCCGCATATGTCAACTTGTACACTGTACTTCCAAGAAGGATCCCTCCACAATGACGTATTTGACTTTTCCTTGACCCTAATCATACTTCCTAATGCACAAATGCAAAATCAAACAAAAAATCTCAAAAAATTTTAAACCCTAAATTTTCTATAAGTTGAAAAATCAAACCTTGAATTTAAAAAAAAAAATCCCAAAATCGGTAGTAGAGATGTCGTAGAGGGCGGCCAGACAAGTGCTGCTAACCGGCGTGAGGCGGCGCCGGCGGGAGGGGCGGCAGGAAGGTTGGCCGAGGGATGCTAGAGCAAGGTCGTGCGGGGTTTTGTGGCTTCATGTGATTCAGGTCGGCCGAGGAACGCTAGGGAGGAATGAATGGGGTATTTGATTAGGCACTTAAGTGAGTGGGATCCGTTTGCTTGAGGCGTATGCCTCCCCTGTTATTACGCAATTGCGCCTCTGAGGCATGCCTCAGGTTCTATGAGGCATGCGCCTCTCCTGTTCCCAGAATTGCTTAAGCAATAAGGCGCCTGGGGGTGAAATTGAGCAGAGGCGCGCCTCTAAATGCGCAATTTTAAACTATGATGCAGATACTAGAGGATACTAATATTAATGCATGATATTTTGCTGATCACAATGAAAAGAAAAATCATATAATCTTTTATTGATTTCCTGATGGGAATTAGAAAGTTTAAAGCCCAATGGAGAATACAAAAGAAGTAGAACACAACTCGATTCAAAACTTTAATATGCAAGTCACCAAATAACATTAAACAAACTAAAATTATTTTATAAGAAGAAAGAAAACCAAAACAAACTACTCTCAGAACAACCAACTAGTGGTCATCTCACGTGTAATGATAAAATAGGTAAATAAAATGCTCAAGGACATGCAAACCAGTGGCCCAGCACAGCAATTTTGATCCAATCCAACGTCTGCCACAACTCCTTCGGCAAATCCCAACAATACTTACCAACCAACACCATTCTCAATTTTTAGAAGAATGATACAATGGGGGTGGAAACTTGTGGAGAGAAGAAAGGGTTAGAAGCTATGATGCACCGACACTTCTCCTCAAAAAGGCGTGCAGTGTCCGACACCATATCCGACACGACCCTCGTCCGACACTCCTCTGACACATGTCGGACACGCCGAAAATGTGTCCGATTAAAAAATATTAAATAAAAATTGGACACGTTTGTCTGACACCCATATCTTAAATATTTTATGAATTTTTTTTAAATATAATGTTTTTGTATTTTGTGGGATTTAAACTAAATTTTTTATTTCCTATCCACAACATCAAATCAACGTTTGCACTTAATACCCAATCATGAAATATTCTCTTTTTTTTCTTTTTGACAGTGAAGGTATTTTCATCTCCTCTCTCGGTGAATGATAAACAGCATCGATGCCTGACTCTTGATATCCTAATACTAATCATTTTAAGCACAAATTCTAGTTAAATGACTTATTATTTTCAAATTATTTTTAAAATTATACTTATTTAATTTTTATACACTATTTTTTAAATATAAAAACTATAATACCGTGTCCTATATTTTCAATAACTGACGTGTCACGTGTCGTGTCATATCCATGTCGTCGTGTCCGTGTATGTGCATCATAGATTAGAAGACTTGGAAGAAGAAACAAGAAGTGAAGAAGTAGCTCTCAAGCTAAAGAATAAACCCTCAAGTTTTTACTTTGTTTTCACTTCCAAAAAAACTCCCAACAACAGCCCAAAACTCTCTTATAAATAGGAAAGAAAAGGAGGCCAACAGCCATGCTCAGCCGCCCACTATAGCCAACCAAAAGGGGAGAAAGAAAGCAACCATAAAGGCACGGAAGAACCCACCAGAAAATCGGGAAAGCCAAGGGCCAGCAGCAGGAACCGAACAGCCCAAGAACTGGGAAAAGCCAGGGAGCAGGAACCGAACAGCCAAGCAAGGGGAACCGGGAAAGCCAGGTAGCAGGAGAAAAAACCGAACAGCCAAGCCAAAGACAGCAGCACAACCGGCCCCAACAAACCCAAACCCAACCTCCCCATCTTTTTCTGAAATTAATAGGATTTACTTGAAATCTTCAAGTGTTTCCTATTAAAATCCTCCAAGATTTGATAATGCAACAAATAGAAGGATAACTACATATAGCAAATATGGCGCTTCCAAAAAATAATCAGCATATACTACACATCATTTGAATGCATAAATAAGAATAAGAAAAGTAGTTGTTCTTCAAAGCATTTTAAGGACAGTTTACACTAACAAGACCTTGCAACCTTGCAGTCCATCGGCACAAATAAAAATTACACCCGTAGTTTCTATATAGAAGAGACCCAAATTTAATAGCCACATTGGTGGGCCGTTTGGCTTCATCTCCTGCCTCTAGAAATTATGTTTCAAACATATATTTTGAATATTGTCTCAGATATAATAGAATTATTAAAGAAGAAATGGAATATCAACAAAACATCAATCAACAAGCTACAAGTAATCAGATTGATTGTATTCCTCAACTGATATAGCACAAAACGTAAAAGCCATGGCACACAATCTGTAAGGCCAGCACTTCAAGAATGAAGCAAAAAAATCCCATCCCCACCACCATCAATACTACACAACATATTGAGTGGCACACATAATACAAACAAATCATGCAAATCAAAATATTCAATAATAGGGTGAAAGTTAAACGGTAAACCCACATGGCATAAACAAAGCAAGCCACTTAACGAAATGCAAAGAAAATTCAGCAGCAACCTGACAAATTTGTAGCCAATATGACACAAGACTAAGCTACAAGCCTTTAGTTTCACAAACATTATTGCAATTAAGTGTATCTATTGGAAATGACCAATAATAAAAAAAGAATATACCTTCTGAACCCGAGCAGTCAATCTAGTCATTGCACTCTTCAATTTCCTCACCCGGTCCAGATTTCTGCTGCTAATCTGCAGGTCATGATTACACCTGATAACCAATTCACCATGACAATGGAGTACAATACAATTGGAAAGAAGACCACAGCAAACAACAGAATGAGCAGTCAATCTACTCATTGAACTCTTCAATTAAATTGGTTTTAATAAGGTTAGAACTCAGAACAACTTCAATGTAGCCAGCAATGTATAGAAAATAATCAGACCCTATTTACCATAAACAAAGAGAAATATATATTTTAACATAAAGTTAAAAATAAACCTTTAAGCACTAACTATTGTAAAAACTACATATTATACAGTATACTTAGCAAATATTGTTGCAAATTAATAATAAGTGACATGCTAACAAAGGACTATAGAAAACAAACAAACTTATAATATCAGGCAGTTCTACTAAAATAAAAAATATTTCATGCCATTTTTATAGAACCAGTCAAGGTGACCATGCTATTGTCTTCACATTTTCAGTATACAATATGCAGATACATGACAAGCGTTTCAATATCAAGTATTTGTTTCACGCTAGCTACAGTTCATGATCACAATTGATAAAATTCTCCAATTTTTTCTTAATGAAATGCATTGATCCATAATAACACAAATGAAGACATGATGAAACAAATACTTGCAAGTGTAAATTCAACTGTATCATTAATGGCAAAGGCAAAGTTGTCACAATTGCTTTTTTCCATATGAAAATCAAAACTTGAAATTTACGTCAAGTAAAATGAATTGTTCATGGTTTCAAAAGCATAAACATAAGAGAGAGAATGATGCTGTGCAAGGTAAAAAAATTCCCACGCACCTTTGAAGTAAGTTCATCTAGGGCTGGGTAGGCTGCAGTCTCCAGTTCTGTTGTTCGAGCATCAAGAAAGCTGCAAATTGCTTCTAGAGCAACTTCTAGGGCTTGGAACTCGAAAGGGGATTCTACATCAAGCATGCTTCACCATTAAGACTTATAGTAGAAACATCTGGCACGCATAGGACTTCCATCTAATTTAAAAAATCCATGTATCTGTGCATTTGAAAGAATGTGCTTGCATGCAGTGTCGATGCGTGCAACTTACCATCTTCATCAGGAACTTCCAAATCATGCAGCCCACTCAAATTCTCCTTTCCTTCACTTTGCTGCATGGCCACATGCTGGAGGCGTCTCCGAAGCTCCTCAACAATCGGGATAACATTGTCATCGAAAGGATCCCTCAGAAGAACCTGCTCCAAACCATAAACAAAATAAAAATCTATTTCAAGTTAACCTAGCAAGCATTATCAAATATTTAAGAGAAAAGCTTCCAAATCCAATGAAATAAGAACAGTGTACCTCTTCAGATGTTATTATCGCCTTGATATGCTGCTTGCCAAACAAAACAATCAAATCAGCACTTAAAAAATGAAAAAACAATAAAGGACAAAACAACTTTATATGGACGGGAAAGAGGGCGCCCGAGCACCTCGAGATTGAGAACAATAGCCTGTTCCCTGCCCAGTATAGTCGAAGGATAGGAGAGGAGAGGATCAAGTATACGCAGATCCCGCGCGTGGATCTGGACTCGGTGCATAATTGCATACTTATCCACATCCAGGATCGTCTCTTCGCCGCTGGAGTCCAGTAAAATCCAGCTTCTCGCCGCCGCCTTCTTCTTTAAACCCTCCATCGCTGACGTCGGCGTCATCGCCCCGTCCCGCGCCATTAATCCAGCCATCAGCTCAAAACTCACTCTCCCCACCGCAGGAGAAATTACATCGCCTCCGGTGATCGCCGCAACCTAAAAATCTCCACACGCAGAGAGAGAGAGAGAGAGAGAGAGGAAGAATCGGTGCGCCTCGTGGAGTTTCAGGGTTGCTCGCCAGTCCCCGCCTCCTCCAATTACTTTAAAATAAATTGAAGTGTTTGCTGATTAATTAACGGAGGGAACCATTACGGTGATACCTAATTAAACACGCTGTAAACTTTCAGTTTGTGCAAACAAATTTCATTCCTTGAATCTGCATTAAGATATGTGTAAAATGGCTTAACAGATTTCACGAATCTTAAGGAGGTGGCCGTGTATTAATGATCTAATAATGTATGGAAATAGAGTTTTGTGGTTTTAAAAGCAGGGATTATAGACAGCACGGAATTTGGACGTTTCGGCGATTTATTCTACCGATTAATCGGGTTAGTAGCGTAGGGAAAAAAATTGGCTAATTTTTAAAAAGAGCCGCTTAATAGTTGGAATAAGCAGAAGTAGAATCGCAGGCTAAAAAAATTAAAAAGGAACAAATATGTCAAACAGGGCGCAGTATGAATGCACCAATTAATTTTACATATTCGTCTAGAGAGAGAAAAAGAGGGAGGAGAGAGGACGGCGCCGGTGGAAAGAGAAAGAGTAGGGCTGCAAATAAATCGAGCGTTTGTCGAGGTACTTGTGGCTCGGCTTGATAAGAGCTTGTTTCTGTTCGTTTGATAATGTAAATGAACAAGATTGAACAACTTTGATAATACTCGATAGCTAAATTAATTATCTTGAACATCCTGACGTTCGGCTCGTTTATGTTCACGAACAAAATTGTTTAGAGCTCGTGAACATGTTCGTTAAGAAACTCGATTAAAAAGCTCGATTATGTCGTATTTAATCAAAAATAAATATTTAACTATTATATCTTGTTTAACTAATAAAATAATTAAACCTAAGGTTATATTTATTAATATTGTTGTATAAAAAAATTATTGTTGTATAAAAAAACAAACAAAAAATATTTTACTTAAATAGACACGTTTTTACTTAAACAGACCATGCCTGCTTCTCTCTCCTCCGTGACCACAAGAAAAACTAAAAACAATGCTGAAGGGAGTTTAGTCCTGTTGCGTCCAGGAGTATTCGTGGCGGTAGAGAAATATAAAGTTTATCGTCTTCGCGTTGTACGAAAATCCGACACGCAATCAGATAAGAGAGTGGGTCTAGCATTTATGAGACACCAAGATTTTTACGTGGAAAACCCCTGAAAAGGGGGAAAAACCACGGGGCCTAGCCCATTTTGAATGAATCCACTAGTATTGCAGTCGATTACAAATGAGGCCCTTCCTTGGGAGAAGGCCTTAGCTTGATGTACATTTTATAGAGTACATTACATGATATGAATACAAAGAATCACTATTGACATATTCGTTTGGTAGGGAGGACCGTAGTCGGCGGGCAACGTAAGTCAGGAGGACCGTAGTCGGCGGTCGACAGAGGTCGGAAAGATTGTAGTCAGCGGGTTACATAAGTCAGGAGGACCGTAGTCGGCTGGCGACGGATGTCGGAAAGACTGTAGTCAGTGGGCGACGTAAGTCAGGAGGACCGTAGTCGGGTGGCGATGGAGGTCGGAAGGCTTGTAGTAAGTGGGAGACATAAGTCAGGAGGACCGTAGTCGGCTGGCGACGGAGATCTAAAAGATTGTAGTCGACGGGCGACGTAAGTTAGGAGGACCTAGACGATTCAGCGCTCATATTCCCGATTTATTGAGTTAGTCTCCGAGGACACCCAAAATAAAAGGGAAGGCGGCAGTGAGTGCCGTTGCTCGGTCTCTCACTTCCAAAAAATTTTTTTTTTTGATATTTTATGTAATGCTTTAAATCAATTTTTGGTTAGTTTTTTTTAATTAAAATAAATATAATAAATAAACAAATATAGAATATAAATGGTTAAACATAAAATATTTTATTTTATTTAAAGAAGATTGAAAGGATTCATAATATTTTTTCTATTTTTCTATTTTTATTTTTATTTTTTTTCTTTTTTGCTTTTTTTTTATTTTTTTTAACTCAAACCAAATTTTATTCCAAATAAAAAAGAGAAATACAACAAAGACCCAAAAAACAGGTGAAGCTAAAATACATTAGATAATGGAAAGCGAAAGGAAACACATCAAAACAAAAAATCAAAGATGCAGGAAAAGGAGCCAAATGCAGACTCTAGAAATGGTGAGCTCATTGCAACCATCTCGCAGCCATGCACAGACCATCCATTGGTGATAACCACCATAAACACATCATCAGCCTATAACTCACACAGGCAAACATCAAGCAGAAGGGCTTATCGCCAAGGTTACAAACAAGCCTGGGGCCAACAAGGTGATAAGCAGGGAGCCTCCTTATCATCGTCCAAATCTTTAAGAAAGCCCACAGCATTGAAAGTGAGGGGATAACCCAAAGACTATTTCTTCTTAGATTTATTTTTTTAGTTTTTCCACTGCTTGATCAACAACACATCCCACCATGAAACTATACATATCATCATTTACATGGTCACCAAAATCATCACCCCGTTAATTTTATTAACTTCAAGATAGTTTCATTCCAATTGGTAGTTGTATGGCTACATAGGATTACTTCTTGTTTATATTTGGTGTAGCCTATTATATTGCCACTATTGTCTATAAATAGGTAGACATTGATTATATTAGAAAAGATTTGGAAGATGAACAATATTTGAGTAGTTTTACTCTTTTTGGGTTTCCGTATCATGAAGGATTTCAGGTGGTGATCCCTCTCCCAAGAAGGAGTTCTTGGTCACGGTCACCGGATCGTCGACGTGGATTCGTCAAGCCCCCTCCGGTCCGGTGTCACCAGCCTAGATGGACTTTCAAATCTGTGTTAGACATAACTGAAATAGGAATCTCAACGTACTCCGCAAATCCCTTCGAGACATTCACAATAGGAGACAAATCCGACTCAACATCAACCAGAAGCATGAAAACTCCGTCATTACCCAGTTCAGCCAAGGTTTCACTACCCCTAACAATTAAAGAAAATGAATCATCACCCGACTCAACAACATTAGCATAAGTAGGGCTAGCTATAAGGTTAATGCAACAATTATTAACATTCATGGAAACATCAACACCCTATATATTTGCTATTAAAGGCGCGACATCCTCCCCAACAAAACCAGAAGCCAAAGGGGCAGCAGCAACCTCGACAATAGAGGGACATAGATCCTGCTCCAAATCCTTCGAAACAACATAGCCAACATTAACCACAACTTCATTTCCGTCAACTACATTAGTAGACCCACGCTCCAAAACCAAATTGTTAGAAACAGAAGGAGCCATATTATCCAAATCCAGAGCTAAGTTAATGATACCAGCATCCGAAATAAACCCATATAGGAATAATGGGCGATTCAATTTCAATATCAAAGGTAAGAGTCCACTTGAAAACCTTCATGAAACAATTGTTCACAAAGTAGGAACAGTGAAAAAAAAAACACGAAAGTAATCCAAGTCGTTCACAAGTTTGATCAGAACATGCTTAGGGTTAAGAACAGTGATCGAAAATTCATCATTTAGCTTAAGGTTAAAAAAAAATTACGAATAACCTCAAGTGAAGGTCTACGAGAAAGAAATTTGCCCACTAAAGCGAACTCAAACAGAGCTGTGAATGCCAAGACTTCCTCATTGGAAATCCACAACTAAGGCATCCCACGAAAGGAAGAGATTTTGAGTTCCGGGAAAAGAGAAGAGGAAGAAGAACTACTCAATAAAGTGTCACGAAAGGATGTAGAAGAGGTATTACCAGCCAAAAAATCGGGATCCTTAAGGTGTTTGCCCTCCATCAAAATGATGACAAGGCAACAAAAAAAAGTTGCAAAAAATTACAGATAACACAAGGATTTAGTGCACTAAACTTCACTGAGGTGATCAAAAGCATGAGGCCACAAGCACAACGACAGAAAAGGGAAGCCTTGCAAGAATGAAACCCTAGCAGAGCACATCACCGAGTATAACTTTTTTTTCTTAAAAAGTTTAGGGTTATCATATTATTTAATGATCTTTATTTATTAAAGATTTTTAATATTATTTTAATTATGTAGGTATTTTTATAACAGTCTGCCTTGAATACAATTATAAATAGAAGGTCAAAATGTGAGCTTAAGAGGACCCCAATCATTTGCTACATTCTTGCACTTTTTTGACAATATAATGAAATCCTATAACTTTGCTCTAAATTTTCTCTTTAACACTTCTTTCTTTATCTTCTATTTTTCTCTATAGCTTGATTTATTCTAGTTAATTAGGCACTTATTGTTTTCTTGGAAGTATCATCTACATTGTAGCCTAATTCTCAAGTGCTCAAAAATCTCTAAAAAAATTCTCATATATTGCTAAAGATGAGGTAAGAGCTAAGAGAATTCTGGGCTAGGAGAATTCTTGAGAAATTTTGTTGTTCATTTTGAGCAGAGATGCAAGAGGTTAAAGCTTTGGAGTTTGTAATCCCCTTAGTAGCATTAACTCAATGCCTAAAATAATATCATTGATATTTTTAATACGACTTAAATATTTAAATATTATATAAATCAAAATTAAAATTTAAATATTAGATATATAATTACATAAATTTGCTACAAACTTGTAGAATTTCATTCATGGCAATTCCTATATAACTTATTAAAAAAAATGCTAATTTACAATGTTCCAAACAGAAATCATGAGCAGATCACTCATTTTTATACTTGTAATATTAAAAAAAAGCAACAAATTATTATTTTCAAAGATTCTAAAATATAGCATATAGAATGAACAAATCTCTTCTACTGTATCTCAACAAAAAAACAAAAAATTTACAGTTTATTGCTTCAATGCAAGTCATTTTCCACAAGAACAAATAAGCATAAAATTACGGACAATTTACTAAGCAATGTTCTATAGAACTCATTGCATCTTCAACATCGGGTAGAAGACCGATGAAAGTTCGTCGACGAGCAGAAGTCCGACGACGAGTAGAAGTCCGCTGATGAGCAGAAGTACGATGACAGGGAGAAGTCCGAAGTCGGGTAGAAGTTCAACGTCGAGTAGAAGACCGACGAAAGTTCGTCGACGAGCAGAAATCCGATGACGAGTAGAAGTCCAACGACAAGGAG